TACAAATAGATTGTAACAAAAATATCTCTACGAGTTTACTTCTCGTCTCACGTAGTTACGACTCTCAAGTGCCACGGCCAGGCGACTTGAGCTTGGTCTGAGTGTCGGGCAGCCCCCTCTAGCGAGTCGCCTTACAGTTTGGATTTATCCCCAAACTTACATATATACGTGTAAAAGTTGCTGGGAGCTAAATATTCGCTTCATTCTGACAATACTCTGACGCAATCTTTAAAAAATGCTGATGTGCGACCAGATGTAAATGTCTCTACCATATAAATTTAGTATTTTATAAGATAGGAAAAACTACGTATTATATCTCGAAAATCTACAACTGATTATTATATTGCATTTCTAATAATGCAAAACGAAATTCCTTTAATCTGATCATAATCAATATACTTCTTGCTATTCGACAGATTATTTTCGATTATCTAATAGTTTTTTATAAGTATAATATAAAATCAAATAGAAAAAACTAGAATTCAYAAAATCAAATAGAAACAAGATTTCTTTGTGTGTATGTGAGGATTGATTATTTATATTCTATTTATTTATTTTCTCTAATCTTGGAAATTACATAGTACATATGTATATGCAAATTAGTATTCATACGGGCAGTCTTTGACGTTTGCACAAACTATGTTCTTAGTCTTGTATAAATAGTCTTTCCGTTTGCTTATACATTGCCACTTGTTGTTAGATCGCGAAGTGTACTAGAATTTTCTGCGCAATGTTTACGTAATATTTGTTCCAAATTTACATTAGGAGGTCTTAGTGTTATATTTAAACAAWTTTTACTTCTTCTATAATTTCTAGTTTGTTCAATTAATCATGAAGTATATCGATACAATTATTTCTAAAACAGCAATAATAATTATATTATACTGTATAATTAGATATTTCATAAATAAATTTTTTGAATATAATATGATCAAAGGATTGTCGGGACCAAAAGCTTTTCCTCTCATTGGAAACCTGTATTTGTTTCTTGGGSCTATGGAAGGTATGATTCTATTTCATATTTGTAATATCTATACTTTTGGTAACGCTGATAAAGATATTTTTTTTAGATATTACCAATAAAATGTTAAAACTATCTAACAAATATACATCACCATGGCGATTCTGGATAGGTTCAAAATTATTTATATTATTTGATGATCCTAAATATATTGAGGTAAAATTCATCAGATTTATCGCAATGCCGTTTAATGAGTAAACACCAGTTTTACTTCTTTTATTCTTTGCTTTTTATTTTTGATTAATTTTTTGTTTTCTTTCTAGATTATAACAAAAAGGTCTAACAGTTATGAGAAAAATCCGATGTATTATTTCTTCAAACCTATTCTGGGTAATGGGTTGTTTACTGCTCCAGGTAATCAACACGTTCATATATTAAAATATATATAATAATCCAGAAGAATATTTTTTTAAATGTATTACAAAGGAATGCTGGTAAAAGTACTACTTTGGTTTATCTGAGCAAATAATGTTTACAGTCTCACAAATATATAAGTGTATAAAAAGAATTTCTTTTTTCTTATTTTTTAACTAATGAATATATAAAAACGAAACAACTTAAGAAATTTAAGTAAGAAATATTCTTTTATTTAAAGCATTAAAATGGGCAACTCATCGAAAACTCTTAA